CTTTTCTGAGTGAGAAGACAGAAGAATAAGATAGCGAATCGCCAATTAGCAACTAATTCTTCATACCACTCTTAAATTTTAAGGCTTAAACCACTGAGATTTAATATTTTCTGACAAAAAACGATAAAACCCTAATCCGTTTTCTCATTGCAGACAATCACGAGCAGATGGAAACAGCCAAATCACTGGTGGATTATCTCGAAGGAGAGATTGAAATGTTGAAAAAGTGCGCTGAATGCTATTCAAATGCAGAGAAGCATCCCAATACATGGTTTACGATGACATGCAATGAACCGCATCTCATTGTTTGGGCGAAGAAAGTGGGCTTCACCTATTGGCCAGCAAAAATGATTTCTATCGACGGTCAACTGATTAACGTGCGTTTTTTCGGTGATCACGACTATGCCGAAGTGCCGGCAACTAATTGCTTTTTGTACTCGGACACCAACCCAAACAGGTCACGCAACACAACGGTAGCGTACAAGTCGGCATTGAAGGTAAGACGATTTTCTAGGAAATTTCCATAGCTTAATCGGTTTATTGAGGGTTTTGTTTTGCTAAAAAAAAAATCATTCTTTGGTGTTTTTTTTTTGTTTCAAAAAATAGCAACCAGGATTTTGTGTCATAAAAAAAGTCCGAAAAAAACGAACGTCCATAAAATGAAAACGATATTTGGGAGCTTAGCATAGCTTGTCTAATGTAGCATTTCTCATAGATTATCAACACATTTTGTTATCTATTTCCAGGAGGCCGAGGAGTACATAAAAAATGTTCGTCAAAAGTTCGGTGCGTATAATTTGTTCGAGACGAAAACGGCCTTTAATCCGTCGTCATTGGGGAAGTACATCGTGCAAGTGATTCCAAAGTTGGCTGGATCGCAGATGGTTAAATCGATAAAGGCCAAATGTAAAATACCCGATCAAGGTGGCCGTAAGCCAAATTCAGCTCCAAGCCCAAAGCCAAATTCAACGCCAAAACCGAAGCCACGCATCGAAGAGTCTGAACCGATACAACGGACAGTTACAATGACACCGATCAGTCCACGAAAGAATGTGGTTATTGCTTTGGCTCGAATTGATCAAAATGACGACGACAAAATGTTAAATCCAAAGAGAAACAGCTCATCGTGCAATGACAAGGATTTACCGCGTGAGAAAAAAATCAAATTGTCTCATGAAGATACGACTGAGAATGGTATTCCATCAGAAATTCAAAACAGTGCTCCAGTAGTTGTCATCCCGAACGAGTCGTTCAATAACGCCATGAACAACAATGATGCAAAGGACACGAACAAAAATGAGACAAATGACACGAACAAAAGTGATTGCAATGAAAATGCCGTAGTATCATCGGCTGATGGTAAAGAAACGAACGATCATGATGAGCCAGTGAAAAAAATGCTCAACTCAACGGAAATGGAGTGTAGCGTCGAAGATTCAACGCTCTTGAATCAAAGCACTATTTCGGATTTGAGTTTTATTGGCGGTTATTCGGTTGAAGAGCCCACCTCAACGGCTTGTTGTGATGGCGATGACTGGGATCCATCGGTGAGCAAAGAAATTGCCGAAGCAGCGAGGCTCACAGTGATTTCACTCATGGAAAACAAATTAAAGTCAAAATTCGAGAATGTGAAGAATAAATTGTATGCCGTGACATTGGAACGAGATCAGGCCGAACGATTGAAGCTCAAGGCCAAAGACGAACATGTCAAGCAAATGGCCGATCTCAATGAAAAGTACGTTCAGTTGGTGGCCAAGGCAAAGAAAGACGCTGAAAATGAACTGAAGGCCGAACTGGAGAAGCGCATCAAGGCTGAAAATGATTTGAAAGATGCCAATCGTATGATGAACGAAAAATTAGCCGATGCCGAAATAAATCTTGCAAACGCCAAAATTGTACACGAAGCAGAAAAAGATGAACAAAACCGAAAGATGGCCCAGCTTCAACAACAAAAAAATGAAATGGAGGCAGAGAAACAAGAAGCGATCAGTAACATGGCACTGATGACTAAGGAACATGGTGAAAAGATTGCCGAACTGGAGGGTAAATTACAAGAAAAGTCGGATAAAGAATCACAATTAGAAGCCAGATATCGCGATATTGTGGCCGGCATCAGACAGAAAGCGGAAGTTGAACGCAGAGAACGACAGTCGTGCGCCTGTTGCGGCAAAGCATTGGAAATGAAACGAATCTGCAGCACTCAATGCGAACAAATGTGGTGAGTTTAGAATGGAATTGAAATTTTTCTTTGGGAAATTTATTTAAAGGTACTATTTCCTAAGCGGCTGATCATGGCCTATTCCAATCGGCGCGAATTTTTCCCAACAGAAATCGCCTAACAGAATCGACGCCGATTGCAATCGGACGCCTAGGATACCTAGGCTAGGAAATAGCACCTTTAGTTCTGTAGCCATCTCGAATCTAAGTTTTGTAGCCATTTTATTGCCTTTATCTTGCCTAATGATACGCAGTTTGAAAAGTGTTTTATTTATTCGACGTTTTTGTTAATGTCTTGTGATGTCTTTTTTCTATTTCACAGGGGAGTTTGGAAAAGCCCGGATTCATCGGATAAAACATTGGAATGAAAGAAACCGCTTCAACGCTAGATTTATCATGAATTATTTTGTAGAGAACGTTTCTATGGAAAACGTTCGATCGAAAATTGTTTTATAATGAATAAAAAATGAATTTTAATGAAAATGAAATGCTACGTGGTCTTTTCTTCTTTCTTCTATTAGTTGCCTAACAGGTCATTCTTACCATGTATAAAAATTAATTTGCGATGCAGGATAGTGTTCAATTCAAGTATCGAGATTCAGATGTTGAATTCTTGGTTCATTCGAACAAGGTTGAAACTGATTGGCCACACGACCACCTAAATCTAAATGGAACTTTCAATGTGAAGAAAGAATTAAAGAGCCATTCGAATCCGTTTTAATGATTTTCATTACAAATTTTCTTTTATTGAAATAAATCAAGGCATATACATTTTATTCGATTTTTTCTATGCAACTGATTGTTTAGCGATAAGCGGAAATAGATTTCGATATCGTTTTAATCCGATCACTGAGCCCATTTCGGAATTTCTACAATTAAGTTTGGTTTCAAGTTTACATGGTGTTGCAATTGACGTTAGGAAGTTGTGTTGCAATTGATGCGTTGGAATTGACGTTTGGAAATAATATTCCGATTGATGTGTTGCAATTGTTGTTTGGAATTTGATCTGGTTGTTGTACAGGCAATGAGTCAACAATTGGAGCAAATCCCATACAAACCAATGGTGATATTGGACGTCCTGCTGCATCATTTGTTAGTAAATCGCTATGAAATTGAATGACGATATTTGGTTCAAGTTCCACATTCGTTTTCACCAGCGGCAGTGTATAGCAGTAATCGTTTGGCGAATCAACATTCACTTGGATTGTGTACATATTTCCAGGGCGTATCAGAATATGTTTCGACAGAGTCACAACTGTCTCACGTTCGCATTGCCAGTGGGCTGTTTGTTTCAATAGAACTTGTGTATTATTATTGCCGTCAGAAGTGGTTATTAATATTTCAGCAGCAAGAGGGTCCGTCAGATCACTTCTCCATTCTTCACCTCGATAAATACGCAGCCAAGTTAAAACTAACTGAACCAGTGCAATTGTTTCACTTGATGATAATATGTTTGAAAAAGATTGTAAATTATTCCAAGTAGTCAAAACTTCCGTAACCAGATCACATTCGATGATCTCGTAATTGTTCCCATGTAGCTGGCGAGCCTTGGTAGTGAATATTATGGGTTGGAAATCTTTCGATCCGATCAGCTGAACGCATTCTTTGAACTCAGCATTCAAAAATACATTGCCATACGTTGGCGTAAGGTCGGCAAAATCTTGGATTGTCATTGACCGAAAACGAATCTCGTAGAACAGATCGCCGAGATGCTTTTCAACGGTTTTCTTTGTCAATGTTTCCTTGCCACTTTTTGACTTCACCCAAGTCATGCATGCTTTGAACACATCTCCTTCTGAGGAGGACAATTTGTCGAGATTCAAAATCTGGCGTAGAACCGACTTCGGGCTATCCAAAAAGCTGCTCGATTCAAATACAGCCTCGGTGTTCTCGATGATTTTCTCTTCGCAAAGTTGTTTGAGGTCGTTTTGCTTGTAGTGAATTGCGCGCCCATAGATGAAACATGCATTCTCGACAGTGAGCTTGTCTTTCAACAATTGGACGCACACGTCCATGCACGCAGCAACTTTGTACTTTTTACCTAGTTTAATGATACTGGGCACATTCTCCATGGTCAGTTCAACATCGCTGAAGTAGAAGAATTTCAAGAACTCTTTGAAATCAGCAGGTGTAGTGTCCACGATTTTGATATCAGCCTTTTTCTTAGTTGCACCGTAAAACATTGCATGGAACACATCACTTCTGGCCGCCAACAAACTTTTGTGTGCTGGAAGACTTTCTTCTTTGTCGTCATCGAGCTTGAAAATGAAATTCACGTCAGATGTTGTGGCATCCAAGTACAGTCCTCGCAAATCAGCTGACAGTGCCTGGTTTTTATAGCCAGTTCGCGGCGCTTGAACATCTGACATTTTGGATTGTCGTCAATGAATCAGTTGAAGTTGATGTTCTGGGGGCTGTGAATCGCCTATGAATTGTCTAGTGACATAGAATGGAAAAGAAAATTGTCCATAAAAAACGTGTATGAAGTGGGAAAATTCAAAGCTTCAGACAATCAAGTCGATGGAAATGTTGATTCCGTACCTTTCAATAGATCGCAAAGACAAATCACTTCCGAGTTGAGGTTATGGTCGACTTGAACGCGCAAACTGAAGAAAATATTGCAATTAGGTGGTTTAAATTGCTTTCAAAGTACTTAATGAAAATAAATATGAGCAGTTTTGCCATAAAATCAAACACATGCAATGTATGTTCGAAATAATGTCCATTTTCAACAGAACATTGAGACAATCATTGAAAACCAAGTTGTGTTGACTTGCTTGGCGTTGCCTTGTTTCACTTACCTTCAATCAACTTATGCCAATGACAAAATATATCGATTATTTGAGCTGGTTTCTAGCAAACACAATGAAAATCATCGAATTGACCGGTTTTTTGGCAAATAAATTGGACCTATTTTCGTTTCTGATTTATGTTTATTGATTGGAAAACAAATCACAAAGGTGCGCTGCACAACGAGTACACAGAATGTTGACAATGTTTGACACTTGTTTTTGTTGTAAATGTATGGTGGTGTTTATCGCGCTCGATTCGCTATTCCGATTGAAAGATGCAGAGTGGATGCGTTCACATCTCAGCGGTCAAATTTGAAAAATTTAAATTTAGAATTTGATTAAAATGAAGTAGAATTTTTAGTTTCAGCTATTTTATAATTGGACATTTCAAATTAGAATGGAATTATTTGGGGTATAATGTATGTATTATTTTCAAATATTGGGCAGTATTAAATAGAACGAGTGTACAATGTACATTATGATTCAAGCACTGAGAAAATTACAGTTAGTTTTAAGTTTACAGAGTATCGCAGTTATTTTTTAGAATTCGATCATGTTTCATCGACTCACTCAACGATTCGAGCAAATCTAAGATCAATTATCGGTGACAATGGAAGTGTTGTTGCATCATTTGTTTTCGGATCGTTGTGAAATTGAATGATGATATCGGGTTCAATTTCGACTTCAGTTTTCAGAACCGACATTTTATAGTGGTGTCCAATGAATGAGTGCTTCAATTGGATTTTGTACTTATTTCCAGGCCGGGCCCAAATTGGTTTTGACAGAATCACAACTGTACCACCTTCACATCGCAAGTGTGCTGTTTGTTTCGCTACAATTTTTGTATCGCCTTTGTCGTCTGGAATCTGAGTGATTGTTATTTCGGTTGGGAGATGGTTCATCAGGTCATCTCTCCATTTATCTTCGCGACGAATACGCAGGCTAGCGAAAACCAATTCCACGAGCATAATTGGTGTATTTGTTGAGAATGTTGAGTATGGTACTGAAAAGTGAATTAAAGGAAAATATTTTGTTGTATATGTCAAAACCCGATTGCATCCAATGATCTTGTAATTGTTCACATGTGGCTGGCGAATTTCAGCAGTAAATATTTTAGGTCGAAAATCTTTCGATCCGATCATCTGAACGCATTCTTTGTGTTCTTTAGAAGAAAATACATGACCAAACGTTGGAATGAGGTCGGCAAAATCTTGGATTGTCATCGAACGAAAACGAATTTTGTAGAATAGATCGCCGAGATGCTGCTGAATCTCTCTCTTCGTGACCGTTTCACCTCCACTTGCTGATTTCACCCAAGCCATGCATGCTTTGAACACATCCGCTTCTGAGCAGGACAAATTGTCGAGATCCAAAATCTGGCGTAGAACCGACTTTGGGCTATCCAAAAAGCTTTTCGATGTAAATACAGCCGCGGTGTTCTCGGTTATTTTCTCTTCGCAAAGTCGTTTGAGTTCCTTTTGCTTGTAGAGAATCGCAAGTCCATAGATGAAACATGCATTCTCGATGGTGAGATTCTTTGTCAACAATTCGACGCACACGTCCATACAGGCAGCAACGTTGTACTTATTTCCCAGATTCATGACACTGGCCACATTTTCCATGGTTACATGAACTTTGCTGAGGTAGAAGAATTTCATGAACTCTTTGAATGCGGCTGGTGAAGCGTCCACAATATTGACATCAGCCTTTTCTTTAACTTCACCGTAAAACATTGCATGGAACACATCACTTCTTGCCGCCAACAGGATTTTTTGAGCTGGAACACTCTCTTCCTCATCGTCAGCGAGCTTGAAGATGAATTTCACGTCAGACGTTGTGGCATCCATGTATAATTTTTCCAAATAGCCTGCCAGTGCCTTGTTTTCATAGTCAATTCCTGGTGTTTGATGATCTGACATTTTAGATTGTCGTCGGTGAATCGGTTGCAGTTGGTGTTCTGAGGGTTGTGAATCGCCTTCGAATCAGCTAGTAAATAGATTGAATAAAGAAAAGAATGTTAGTTAGTCCAATAGAAGCACGAAGTAAAAAAATTCTAAATTTTGAACAATTTCTTTGATAGAAATTGATTCCATACCTTTCAATGGATCGCAAAGACAAATCACTTCCGAGTTGAGGTTATGGTCGGCTTGAACGCTGAATCGATCTGGTGAATATATTGAAATTGAGTGGTTTAAATTGCTTTCATAGACAGTTTTACCATTGAATCACAGAATATTATCGAATTGATTATCTTTTTCAACAGAACATTCAGACAACCATTCGAAATTAAGTTGCTGTGTTAGCTTGTGTTGGCTTTGCCTTGTCTCACTTACTTTCAATTAGCTTATGTTAATGAAGAAATATCCAATATTCGAGTTTGTTTCCGAAAAACAGAACAAAATTTCGTCAGATTTATCGTCTTTAGGGCACAAAATTCGATTAGAGTCAGTTTACATTTATTGAAATCACAAATTGTTCACAACAACGCACAATCCAGCACAATGAATACACAAAAATGTTGATGACGTTTGACACTTGTTTTTGTTGTAAATGTATGGAGCTATTTATCGCGCTCAATTCACTATTCCGATTGAAAGGTAGGTGAACGTAGAATGAAGAGTACGTTCAAAACTTGGCGGTCAAACTTGAAAAAATGTGCTGCAGAGAAAATGAGAATGTTATTAAATTGAAGCAGAATTTCAAGTCACAGCTATTTTGTCATTGGACGTTGTACATTTTCAAATTAGAATTAAAATGATAAAAACAATCCTCAGTTTTATGCCATGTTTTAGACCATCCAAGGATATTTTCAAAGGCAAATAAAGAAAAATTTGGGATAGATATTTTTGATTAGTTTTTTTTTTTCTAATAAGAATTCTTTTTCTATCGTTTTTCTATTCTTCATTCATTTTTCCAACGCAATGAAAACAAATTCCAGCCATGAATAATATCAAAATGTAATAAGATGTTGTTGAACTTTTGAATCTGCCACCAGCAACTAGAAACATACACTAATATGATGATTTTCTGAAGTTTATTCTTAAAATTGTGTCTTTTTCAATTTATTTTTGAGATTTTCATCATTATTAGAACTAAATTTTCTTTACATTTTACAGGGAAGTTCAAAACGACCTGAATTCACAGAAATTAGAATGAAGCGTTTGTCTAGTTTTATTGCAAAGTGAATATTTTTTCTACAACATACGTATTTTATTCGGTTTAGTTCGGTGAATGTACATTTCTCATTTTGATTTAATGAATAATTTCGAATATCCTAAAATTAGGCTATGTTTTACATTGTAAAGTAACTAAATTAAGGTATTCCATCTCGTTTTAAGGCATCATTCATTGGAGCAAACCGAAGAGCAATTATTGGCGATAATGGGAGTTTTGTGTTGCTCATCTTCGCATCGGCGCGAAATTGAAAGACGATATTTGGTTCAAGTTGCACTTCTGTTTTTAGCACGGGTGCTTTATAAAAGTGTTCAGTGGTTGCAATTTTCAATTGGATTTTGTAGTCATTTCCAGGTTGAGTAAAAATTGGCTTTGACAAAGTCACGATTGTGCCATGTGTCCCATCTTCGCAACGCAACTGTGCCGTTTGTTTCGATAGACATGTTGTTGCACCTTTGTCGACTGAAATCTGCAAGACTGTAATTTCGGCAGGAAGATGATTGATCTGGTCATCTCTCCACTGTCCATCTCGGAATACACACAAGCGTGTGATGACCAACTCCGTGATAATCACTGCTTCGTTTGTTGAGAATGTTGTTGTTTCAACCGAACGGAAAAAATACGGTTTTGTTGTATATTCCAGCACCCGATTGCATTCAATGGTCATGTCTCTGTTTACATATTTCTGGCGAGTCTTCGTCGTGAACATTTCGGTTTCGTTAACCGAAAATACGTGGCCATACGTTGGAATGAGATCCGAAAATTCTTGGAATGTCATCGACCGAAAACGAATTTCGTAGAATAGATCACCTAGATGCTGTTGAACGTCTTCCTTCGTTATTGTTTTCTCGCCACTTGCTGACTTCACCCAAGCCATGCACGCTTTAAACACATCCGCTTCTGAGCAGGACAAATTGTCGAGTTCCAAAATCTGGCATAGAACCGACTTTGGGCTATCCAAAAAGCTTTTCGATGCAAATACAGCCTCAGTGTTCTCGGTTATTTTCTCCTCGCAAGGTCGTTTGAGTTCCCTTTTCTTGTAGAGAATCGCAAGTGCATAGATGAAACATGCATTCTCGACGGTGAGATTCTTCGTCAACAATTCGACGCACGCATCCAAACAGGCAGCAACGTTGTACTTTTCACCCAGATCCATGACACTGGCCACATTTTCCATAGTCACATGAACTTTGTCGAGGTAGAAGAATTTCATGAACTCTTTGAATGCGGCTGATGAAGTGTCCACGATCTTAACATCAGCCTTTTCCTTAACTTCCCCGTAAAACATTGCATGGAACACATCACTTCTGATTGCCAACAGGTTTTTATGAGCTGGAACACTTTCTTCCTGATCATCAACGAGCTTGAAAATGAAGTTCACGTCAGATGTTGTGGCATTCATGTACAATCTTCCCAAACCGGTTAACAGTGCCTGGTTTTCAAAGCCCATTGACGATGCTTGAACATCTGACATTTTGGATTGTCGTCGATAAATCAGTTGAAGTTGATGTTTTGTTTCTGATGAATCGCCTATGAATTGTCTAGTGACATAGAATGGAAAAGAAAATTGTCCATAAAAAACGTGTATGAAGTGGGAAAATTCAAAGCTTCAGACAATCAAGTCGATGAAAATGTTAATTCCTTACCTTTCAATGAATCGCAAAGACAAATCACTTCCGAGTTGAGGTTATGGTCGACTTGAACGCGCAAACTGAAGAAAATATCGAAATTGGGTGGCTTAAATTGCTTTCAACGTACTTAATGACAATAAATATAAGCAGTTTTGCCATAAAATCAAACACATGCAATGTATGTTCGAAATGATGTCCATTTTCAACAGAACATTGAGACAATCATTGAAAACCAAGTTGTGTTGACTTGCTTAGCTTTGCCTTGTTTCACTTACCTTCAATCAACTTATGCCAATGACAGAATATATCGATTATTCGAGCTGGTTTCTAGCAAACACAATGAAAATCATCGAATTGACCGGTTTTTTGGCAAATAAATTGGACCTATGTTCGTTTCTGATTTATGTTTATATTGGAAAACAAATCACAAAGGTGCATAACGAGTACACAGAATGTTGACAATGTTTGACACTTGTTTTTGTTGTAAATGTATGGTGGTGTTTATCGCGCTCGATTCACTATTCCGATTGAAAGATGCAGAGTGGATGCGTTCACATCTCAGCGGTCAAATTTGAAAAATTTAAATTTAGAATTTTATTAAAATGAAGTAGAATTTTGATTTTCAGCTATTTTATAGTTGGACATTTTCAAATTTGAATGAAATTATCTGGAAAAAATATACTTGTATATTATTTTCAAATGTCGGACAGTGTACATTTTGATTTGGTTTCGAGCACTGAGATAATTCCAGTAATATCTAAAATTACACTTGCTTTTTAGTTTGCATGGTGTCGCAATTAAAAAATGTGAGATTCGATGATGTTTCATAGACTCACTCAACGATTCGAGCAAATCTAAGAGCAATTATCGGTGATATTGGAAGTTTTGTATCTTTTGTTATCGCATCGAGGTGAAATTGAATGATTATATTGGGTTCTAGTTTCACTTCAGATTTGAGAAATGGTTTGTTATAGCAGTGTCCATTCAATACATGGTCCTTGAATGATTGCTTCAACTGGATTTCGTACTTATTTCCAGGCCGGGCCCAAATTGGTTTTGACAGAGTCACAACTGTACCACTTTTCTCACATCGCAAGTGTGCTGTTTGTTTCACTAGAACTTTTGTATCGCCTTTGTCGTCTGGAATCTGGGTGATTGTTATTTCAGTAGGGAGATGGTCCATAAGGTCGTCTCTCCATTTGTTGTCACGAAAAATACGCAGACCAGTGAATTCCAATTCCACAAGCATAATTGGTTCACTTGTTGAAAATGTAGCGATTTCAATCGAATCGAAATAATAAGGTTTTGTTGAATATTCCAAAACCCGATTGCATTCAATGATCTGGTAATTTTTCACATGTTGCTGACGAATTTCAGCAGTGAACATTTTGGGTTGAAAATCTTTCGATGCGATCAACTGAATGCATTCTTTGTGTTCACCGTTCGAAAATACACGGCCAAAAGTTGACGTAAGGTCGGCAAATTCTTGTATTGTCATCGACCGAAAACGAATTTCGTAGAATAGATCACCGATATGCTTTTCAACTCTTTTCTTCGTCACCGTTTCTGCGCCACTTGCTGACTTCACCCAAGCCATGCATGCTTTGAACACATCGGCTTCTGAACAGGAAAAATTGTCGAGATCCAAAATATAGCGTAAAACCCACTTGGGGCTATCCAAAAAGCTTCTCGATGCAAATACAGCTTCGGTGTTTTCGATGATTTTCTCTTCGCAAAGCTCGTCGAGGTCCTCTTGTTCGTACAAAATTGCAAGTCGATAGATGAAACATGCATTTTCGGAGGTGAGATTATCTATCAACAATACGGCGCACGCATCCAAACAGTCGTCAACGTTGTACTTTTTGCCCAGGTTCATGACAATAGACACATTTTCCATGGTAAGGTGAACTTTTCGGAGGTAGAAGAACTTCAGAAACTCTCTGAATGCGGCTGGTGCAGCGTCCACGGTCCTAACATCAGCCTTTTCTTTAACTTCACCGTAAAACATTGCATGGAACACATCACTTCTTGCCGCCAACAAGCCTTTATGTGCTGAAACACTCACTTCCTGGTCGTCAGCGAGCTTGAAGATAAATTTCACGTCAGATGTTGTGGCATCCATGTACAATGCTTCCAAATAAACTGGCAGTGCTTTGTTTTCATAGTCCATTCCTGGTGTTCGACGATTTGACATTTTGGATTGACGTCGACGAATCGGTTGCAGTTGGTGTTCTGTGGGTTGTGAGTCGCTTTCGAATCAGCTAGTAAATTGATTAAATAAATAAAACGTTAGTCTAACAGTAGCACGATGTAAATAGTTCAAATTTCAGATAATCTCATTGATCAAAACTGATTCCATACCTTTCGATGGTTCAAAGAGACAAATCACTTCCGAGTTGAGGTTATGGTCGGCTTGGACACTCAATCGATCTAGTGAATATATTGGAATTGATTGGTTTAAATTGCTTTCAATGTACTTAATGACAATAAATATGAGCAGTTTTGCCATTCAATGGCAGCCAATGAGAAATCATTCGAAATAATTTTCTTTTTCAACATAACAATTCAGACAATCATTTGGAATCAAGTTTTTGTGTTTGCTTGGCTTTGCATTGTCTCACTTACCTTCAATTGGCTTGTGTCAATGACAAAATATATCGATTATTTGAGCTGATTTCTGGAAAACACAATGAAAATCGTCGAAATAATCGTTGTTTTGGCAAATAAATTTGACCACACACTATTTTCGTTTCTGATTTATGTTTATTGATTAGAAAACAATCACAAAGCTACACAACGAGTACACGGAATTTTGACGATGTTCAACACTTGTTCGTTCTTGTGAATGTATGTTGCTGTTCATCGCGCTCAAGTCGCTATTCCGATTGGAAAGTGTAGAATGAGGAGTGCGTTCAAAGCTCAGCGGTTAAATTTTAAAAATACGAAACAAGAATTTTATTTAAATGAAGTAGAATTTTTGAGTTACAGCTAATTTTTCATTGAACATTTTCAAAATGGAATGAAATTATCTGAAAAAAATATATATTTACGCATAAATTTATTTTCAAATGTCGGACTGTATTAAATGGAACGAGTGTACATTTTGATTTCATTTTGTGTCGAGCACTGAGACAATTTCGGCAATATCTGAAATTCCGTTTGGTTTTAAGTGTACATGATGTCGCAATTATACTTTGGAGTTCCATTGAGTTTCATAGACTCACTCAACATTTTGAGCAAATCGAAGAGAAATTATTGGTGACGTTGGAATTGTTATTCCACCTTTTGTTTTCGGGTCGTTGTGAAATTGAATGACGATATTGGGTTCAAGTTCAACTTCAGTTTTCAGAACTGGAATTTTATAGCAGTGTTCATTTAATGAGTGCTTCAATTGGATTTGATACTTATTTCCTGGTCGTGTCAAAACTGGTTTCCACAGAGTCACAACTGTACCATTCACACGTAAGTATGCTGTTTGTTCCACTAGAACTTTGGTGTCGCCTTTGTCATCCGGAATCTTGGCGATTGTTATTTCAGTGGGAAGGTAGTCCATCAGATCATCTCTCCATTTATCTTCGCGACGAATACGCAGGCTAGCGAAAACCACTTCCACGAGCATAATTGGTGTATTTGTTGAGAATGTTGTGTATGTTACTGAAACGTGATTTAAAGAACAATATTTTGTTGTATATTCCAAAACACGATTGCATCCAATGATCTTGTAATTGTTCCCATGTGGCTGGCGAGTTTTTGTCGTGAAGTTTTTAGGTCGAAAATCTTTCGATCCAATCAACTGAACGCATTCTTTGTGCTCACGCGAATAAAACACATGACCAAACGATGGAATAAGGTCGGCAAATTCTTTGATTGTCATTGACCGAAAACGAATCTCGTAGAACAGATCGCCGAGATGCAGTCGAATCTCTCTCTTCGTCACCATTTCACCTCCACTTGCTGACTTCACCCAAGCCATGCATGCTTTGAACACATCCGCTTCTGAGCAGGACAATTTGTCGAGATTCAAAGCATGGCGTAGAACCGACTTCGGGCTATCCAAAAAGCTTCTCGATGCAAATATAGCTTCGGTGTTCTCGACGATTTTCTCTTCGCAAAGTCGTTTGAGTTCTTCTTGTTCGTAGAGAATTGCAAGACCATAGATGAAACATGCCTTCTCGACGGTGAGATTCTTTGTCAACAATTCGCCGCACGCGTCCATACAGGCAGCAACGTTGTACTTTTCACCCGGATTCATGACACCGGACACATTTTCCATGGTTACATGAACTTTGCTGAGGTAAAAGAATTTCAAGAACTCTTTGAATGCGGCTGGTGTAGCGTCGACGATGTTAACATCAGCCTTTTCCTTAACTTCCCCGTAGAACATTGCATGGAACACATCACTTCTGGTTGCCAACAGGGTTTTGTGCGCTGGAATATTTTCTTCTTGTTCATATGGGGGCTTGAAGATAAAATTGACGTCAGATGCTGTGGCATCCATGTACAATTTTCCCAAATCAGTTAAAAGTGCCTGGTTTTCATAGGCAATTTCTGGTGCTTGAACATTTGACATGTTGGATTGTCGTCGATGAATCGGTTGCAATGTTTCAGGGGTGGCGATTCGCCTCCAAATCAGCTAATGAATGGAAAAACTTGAGTTCAGCAGAAGCACGAATTAGAAAATATTCCGAATTTTGGACAATCAAATCGATGAAAATGTTGATTCCGTACCTTTCAGTGGATCGCGAAGACAAATCACTTTCGAATTGAGGTTATGGCGGACTTGGACGCACAATCTGGAGAGGATATATGAACCGTTTAAATTGCTTCCAATGTACTTAATAACAACAGATATAAAAGGTTTGCTATTGAATCACACACATGTATTCCAATGAGAAAGTACCCGAGATAATTTCCATTTTCAAAAGAACATTCAGACAATCATTGGAAACCTAGTTGTGTCGACTTGCTTGGCTTTGCCTTGTTTCACTTACCTTCAATCTTAACTTATGCCAATGACAAGATATTCCGATTATTCCATCTGGTTTCTAGCAAATCGTCGAATCAATCGGTTTTTTTGGCAAATAAATTGGAACTACTTTTGTTTATGATTTATGTTATTGATTGGAAAAGAACCATAAAAGTGCACAATGAGTACACGGAATGTTGACGATGTGTGACACTTGTTCGTTCTTGTGAATGTAATGTTGCTGTTTTTCGCGCTCAAGTTGCTATTCCGATTGAAAGGTTCCGAATGGAAGAACGTTCAAAGCTCGGCGGTCAAATTTGAAAAATAATACGAAACAAGAATTTTATTTAAATGAAGTAAAATTTTGAGTTACAGCTAATTTTTCACTGAAAATTTTCAAAATAGAAAGAAATTATTCGAAAAAAACATATTTACGCATATATTATTTTCAAATGTCGGACTGTATTAAATGGGACGAGTGTACATTTTGATTTTGTTTTGTTTCGAGCACTGAGACGATTTCGGCGATACCTCAATTTACGCTTGGTTTTAAGTTTACAGAGTGTCGCAATTATCTTTTCCAATTCGATCTTGTTCCATAGAGTCACTCCACGATTCGAGAAAATCGAAGAGAAATTATTGGTGACGTCGGAAGTTGTAAATCAACTGTTTTCGGATCGTTGTAAAATTGAATGATGATATTGGATTCAAGTTCAACTTCAGTTTTCAGAACTGGCATTTTATAGCAGTGTTCATTTGATGAGTGCTTCAATTGAATTTGGTACTTATTTCCTGGTCGTGTCAAAACTGGTTTCCACAGTGTCACAACTGTACCTTCCTCACATCGCAAGTGTGCTGTTTGCTCTACTAGAACTTTCGTGTCGCCTTTGTCGTTGGGAATCTTGGCGATTCTTATTTCAGTAAGGAAATCGTCCATTAAGTCATCTCTCCATTCTCCATCACGATGAATACGCAGGCTCTCAAAAACCAACTCCAAAAGAATAATTGGTTCATTTGTTGAAAATGTTGTTGCAATGTTACGGACAAAGCAATATTCTTTCCTGTATTCCAAAACCCGATTACATTCAACTTTGTGATTGTTTCCATGTGGATGACGAGTTTTTGTCGTGAAGATTTCAGGTCGAAAATCCTTCGATGCAACCATCTGAACACATTCTTTGTGCTCATCCATCGAAAATACATGGCCAAACGATGCAATGAGATCGGCAAATTCTTTAATTGTCATTGAACGAAAACAAATTTTGTAGAATAGATCGCCGAGAAGCTGTTGAACGTCTGCCTTCGTCACTATTTCCTTTCCACTTGCCGACTTCACCCAGGCCATGCATGCTTTGAACACATCCGCTTCTGAGCAGGACAATTTGTCGAGATTCAAAACATGGTGTAGAACTGACTTTGGGCTATTCAAAAAACTTTTTGATGCAAATACAGCCTCGGTGTTCTCGGTTATTTTCTCTTCGCAAAGTCGTTTGAGTTCCTTTTGCTTGTAGAGAATCGCAAGTCCATAGATGAAACATGCATTCTCGACGGTGAGATTCCTTATCAACAATTCGCCGCACGCGTCTAAACAGGCAGAAACGTTATATTTTTCGCCCAGATTCATGACACTGCGTACATTTTCCATGGTCAACCGAACTTTGCTGAGGTAGAAGAATTTTAAGAACTCTCTGAATGCGGCTGGTGTAGCGTCGACGATGTTAACATCAGCGTTTTCCTTAACTGTACCGTAAAACATTGCATGGAACACATCACTTCTAGTTGCCAACAAGCTTTTGTGTGCTGGAAGATTTTCTTTTTTGTTGTCATCGAGTTTGAAGATGAATTTCACGTCAGATGTTGTGGCATCCATGTACAATATTCCCAAATCAGCTGACAGTGCCTGGTTTTCATAGTCAGTTTCTGGTGTTTGAGGATCTAGCATTTTGTATTGTCGTGGATTAATCGGTTGCAGTTGGTGTTCTGAGAGTTGTGAATCACCTTTGGATCAGCTAATGGATATATTGAATGAATAGAAAAACGTTAGTCCAACGGAAACACGAATTAGAAAATATTTTAAATTTCGAACAATCTTATTGATCAAAACTGATTCCATACCTTTCGATGGATCAAAGACACAAATCACTTCTGAGTTGAGGTTAGATCGATTTGGACGCTCAATCGAACTGGAGAAGATATTTGAATCGAACTGTTTAAATTGCTCTCAATGTACTTAATAACAACAAATATTAAAATATTTTGCCATTGAATCACACACTCCAATGAGAAAATATTCGAAATAATTTTCCTTTCAAACAAGAACATTCAGACAATCATTCGAAATAAGGTTGCTGTGTTGACTTGGCTTTGCCTTGTTTCACTTACCTTCAATTAGTTTATGTCAATGACAAAATACATATATCGAATATTCAAACCAGTATCAAGTAAAAATAACAACAATCGACAATTTGGTTGAGTTTTTAACACAAAAATTGATTGCAATCGACTGTAAATTTTGATTAGACTTAGAAAATGTGTATTTATTTAGAATGTTTATTCATTTCGCTCTGCGCCCTATACATGTCCATAGGATAAAAATATTTCAACAAGAATACTAGATGTAACCCAACATGCATAATAATTGGACGGTTCAATGTAGTGCTTTTTTGTATGAAAATCAATAAAATTTATGCACAATACGTTCATGGGTCGATTTTCTATGCATATGCGATGCATAAAATGTGCATCTTATCTTCCTAATGTAAATGTCTGCAAGCTATACCATATGCATACTGCGTGTATTGTATGCATATTGTGTGGATTATATGCATACAAAGCATATTTTTTGCATCATTTTTGGTTCAGATTATGCATCAAAGACAGTAAAATGGCTCATTGCTTAAGCAATTGATTCCTTTTTAATTCAAAATTCAGTTAGTCTCAGTTACTATTAGAAGTACCAAATGGAAGATTGGTCACCTTGGTTCCAATGTAATAAACTGGACATTTAT